AAAATCAAAGCTTACACATAGCTTAGACAGGATTTCTCAGCCTCAACACTGTTGACATTTTGGGCCACATAACCCTTTGTTTGGAGAACAGTCCTGTGCATTGTGGGATGTTTAGCAACATCCTTGGTCTCTACCCATTAGATGTCAGTAGCATCCCGCAGTTGTGACAGTCAATGCATTTACATTGCTAAAAGTCCTATGAGGGACAAAAATCACACCATATTGAGAATTACTGGTGTAGAGAGCCAAATAGTTTACAGGGCTTACTGTGAACAATAAATAGTTCGTGCCCTCCAATTCATAGCACCCACTTCATTGTTTTCTAACCCCCCAGAGGGAGTTTTAGATGTTTCATTTTCCAATAGTTTAAAATTTTTCATTTTCATCGTATCCAAATCCTTTACCCATTTTAAATTGGGTTATTTGTCTTTTTGTTGAGTTTTATGAGTTCTTCATATATCCTGGATATGTAACCCTTATCAGACATGTGATTTGCAAGTATTTTCTCTCATTCTGTTGGTTTGTCATTTCATTGTCTTGATGGTGTCCTTTGATATAAGTTTTTAGTTTTGATAGAGTTCACTTTTTTTTTCTTGGTTTTCTAAACCTTTTATGAGGCTAGTATTACCCTTATACCAAAGCTAGCCAGACATCACAAGAAAGGAAAACTATACACCAATATCCCTTATTAACATAGGCACAAAAATATTAACAAACAAAATCTAACAGCTCATAAGTGTCATAGATCATGACCAAGTAGGATTTATCCCAGGAATGCAAGGGTGGTTCAACATAAGAAAATTGATTAATCTAATACACCCCAATAACTGAACAAAGTGGAAAAGAACCACAGAATCATCTCAATGGCTGTGGAAAGCACTTGACAAAATTTAAGACTTTGTAAACATATAGGGCATTTATGAAAAAAATCACAGCTAACATATTCATTGGTGAAAAATAAAAGCTTCCTCTGAAGAGAAACAAGACAAGGATTCTTGCTTTCACTGTTATTCAAGATAGTGGAAGTCCTAGCCAGAGCAATTAGGCAAGAAAAAGAAAAGCCACCTGAATTGGAAAGGAATAAGAGAAACTATCTGCAGATAACATGATTCTCTACATAGAAAATCCCATAGAATACACACACACACACACACACCCTACTAGAATAAGTGAATCAAGGAAAGTTGCAGAGTACAAAACCGACACAAAAATCAGTTGTTTTTCTATGCATCAGCAAGAAGCAATCTGTAAAGGAAATTAAGCAAACAATTCCACTTACAATAGCATCCAAAAGAATAAAATATCTAGGAATAAATTTAGCCAAGGAGGTGAGAGTCTTATATAACCTAGGGGAAAAAAAAAACTACAAAACATTGTTTAAAAGAAATTAAAGAAAACCTTAATAAATAGAAAGACATTCCATGTTCATAGATTGGAAAACTTAATTTTATAAGATGACATTACTTCTCAAAACAATCTACAGATTCAAAATTCCAATGGCCTGTTTTGTAAAAATAGAAAATCTAATCCTAAAATTAATATGAAACTTAAGTGGCTTTCAATAACCAAAACAATATTGAAAAAAAAAAAAAGACTTGGAGGACACACGCTTCCAATTTCAAAACGTAATACAAAGCTAGAGTAAACACTGGTTCTGACATACAAACACTTAGAACAATGGAATAGAATGGAGAGTCCAGAAACTTCTGTGGTCAATTGATTTCTAACATTGGTTCCGATACCATTTGTATTAGTTTCCTAGGGCTGCCTTAACAAAGTACCACAAATTGGATGGCTTCAAACAACAGAACTTTACTGTCTCACAGTTCTGGAGGCTACGAATAGAGCATCAACAGGGCTGTGCTCCCTCTGAAACCTGTAGCAGAGAATTTGCCTTTTCCTAGCTGCTGGTGTATGGCCTTGACATCCGCAGCAATCCCGCTGCATCACTCCAATTTCTGCTTCTGTCATCACATGGCCATGATCCCTCTGTGAATCTGTGTCTTCCTATAGGGACGCCAGTAATTTTGGATTAAGGATGTACCCTACTCCAGTATGACCTCATCTTAACTAGTTACATCTGCAATGACCCTGTTTCCAAATAAGGTCACATTCTCGGGTACTGGGGGTTGGGATTTCAACATATCCTTTGAGGAGGGTGCACAATTCAATACACCATTCAGTGAGAAAAGAATAGTCTACAACGAAAGGCACGGGGACAACTGGATAACCACATGCAAAGGTATGAAGTTTGACCTCTTCCTCACTCCATATATAAAAATTAACTCAAAATGGATCAAAGACCTAAATACAAGAGATAAAACTATTAGAAGAAAACATTGATAAGTCTTCACAGCCTTGGATTTGGTAACAAATTCCTATCTCTTTATTTCAATTGTATTTTAAACTCTACAATGCACTGGAGGTGCTCCTAGTCGTGACAAATAAAGACAGCCAGGCAGTGGAGTCTTCCTAGGAACCACCAGTCACGTCAAATAATGACAGCTCTCTGTGAATGAGGCTTTGAAAGAACGCCAACCCTGTCCTGCTCTTTCCAGTAGCTTCCAGGCTGTTGGTTTTCACTCTGATTGTGGGTTGTTGGTTTTCAAAGCTACAGTTCAGCTGTTGGGAGTCAGGGGGAGGTGAGAAGAGAATAGGGCAAGTTGAAAACATCACAAAGCTGACTGTTCTTAACAAGATCTTGTTTGTTTTTAATTTGTTTTATGTAAATGCTCCTGGATTGCTATAAACCTTCGGTTAATTTCCAGAGTTTCAGAAAAAGTTGATTATAACTGTATTTTTGCCAGTTTCCTCATTACTTTTATAGAGGAGAGAGTTTTTGGAGGTCCTTGCTCCACTCTTTTCTCTAATACCATTCTTGATTGCTTCCTATAACACGGTTAGAGTCTATCTGAGGTCAGTGTCATAACCCTCATTTCACAGCACACAGTAAAAAGAAAATGAGAGCTGGATGTACTTATTCTAGGAAAGCACACTGCAAGGTGAAGTGAAGGCAACGTGGGCAGTGCTTCTCCAACTTCCTTTGGGGAAGGTCCAGTTTTTTGGTTTTCTGTTTGTTTGTTTCTTAATCTCATTCATCATGATATGTGGTGAGGCTCCACGTGACTCATTGCCTTGCAACTTGTCGTACAAGTTCAACAAACTGGGCTGGTCTCTACCCTGTTGGACAAGAATTCTCCACTGTTCACACTCCTGGAGGTCCAGGTGACGTCCAATTTCTAGAAGAGTTACTAAGCGCTCTCCATTTCTTTACTTATCTTGTCGCCAAGTGGTAACAAATTTTGAAGCAAATTTTTAGTAGCACTTAACTAGGAAACAATCCTCAATAAACTAGTATGTGACATTTACAGCCACATTTAAAAATATATCTGTATTGGTTTTCTCTTAAATTCAAGCATCACGGAACGATGTAATATAGCAAATGAGGATTCCTCATATTCCCACAGGCACACAGAGCTGAGCCGTGTTGATGTTTGCTCTATATATACTACAAATTGTTTTCTATTCTTACACAATTATGTGTTTGCTTTGTACAAATGAACTTATTCTACATACATATTTTACAAATTATTGAGTTACTTGGACATGTTCCCATATAAGTACATTTTCCTCATTCTTAACAACCATGGAGTATTCCATTTCATATAAATGCAAGAATTGTTAACCAGTCCTTATTGATGGCCCTTTAGGCACAAGTCCCAATTTTCAAGCTAAGGCATTGTAATCCACTAGAAGAAACAAGTGTCAGCTCTGTATTGTGTGTCAAGCCTCACAAGCAGAGCAAAACTTACCATCCAAGTGATTTCATATTATCATTTTAGGATGTTTCCAAGCTCTTGCTATTACAAACATGCCAGGATGAATCTGTGTGCTCGCCCTTTGGACATCTGTATGTCCCTGTGCACACCCGGAGAATGAAGTCTGGGAGGAGGAGCTGCCATCCAGAGAGGGTGTTCTGGCTGACACTGCCACCCACAATCCACTTTCTTTTGAGTTTGAGATTGGGGGGAATTGAAAAGTCATCAGAAACCAAACCAAGATAAAAGTGACAAATGTTCCAGGCCAGGATGTTGGACATTCCTTGGCTGTTCAGAGGCTTGTGAAGCCAGCTCTGAAAGAATGCTAGAAATATGGTGAGCAACTCACTCATTCCATTAAAACACCTTTTCTTCTCACTTCTGCCAAGAACAAGTAACCTCCAGCAAGATAAATAAGCTATGCTACCTCTTTACAAATCATTTCCTTTTATTTAATGGGGGGGTTAATTAGGTTTGTTTACTTATTTCTCTGTTTTTCAATAGAGAATTTGTTGTACGGGGGATTGAACCCAGGACCTTGTGCATGCTAAGCATTCGTTCTACCACTGAGCTATTCCCATCCACCCACCCACCCCTTATTTTTTAAAATCCAAAATGTTAAGCTAAATGTTATTTAAATATACGTTTAAGTTTTATGGCACTGACTCACTCGTGGCAGGAAGGAGGGGAAGCCAGGAGTTCTTACCCCGTACCACCCTTTAGGTCTAACACAGATCTCCAACAGCCAGTAGACAGAGGGCTCAGTTTCTCCTTGACCCGATTCTGTTACTGCCCAGCAGAAGCGCTGCTTTGAAGCCTGTTTCAGACACAAAGCAGCTCATGTCTGCCAGCTAACCTCTCCATCACATTGGTCTGTGACCTTCCCTGAGTCCTGTAACAGCATTTCAAGGAAAACCCAAAGAACACGTAAGCTGAATTATGGTCCTCCCTTGGGGTGTCCTGGAAGCACTGGGGTTTCAGAAAGCCATGTATAGTTTCTGGGGAAATAATCTTTCAAGAAAAGTAGCACAGACACTAACAATTCTCAAAGCTCCTTGCTGACATGAGAAATCGTGACATGAGAACAGCACATCTGATTCATCTCAGGGACCTATCTGACCCCCCAGAGGGTGCCGAGGTGCTGGCCCCTGGTCCCTGACACACAGGACACAGACAGTGTTTCCACTCAGATAGGAATAAATCCAGGGCTCAGTGTACACATTTCACAGCTTTTTATTGAGATTCAGGGAGAGTCTGCCGATGGCGGGCGTGCTCACTGTCCCAGTTTGCCCAGGCCTTCAGCTGCGTGGGTGACAGCATTTGTGACTGTGTTGGTCACCGTCTCAGTGACTTCCTTTACCACTTTGTCCCCTGTCTCCTGGGCCTTCTTTAAGGCTTCAGCAATGGCTGTCAGGAAAAAAAGAATGTCCAGGTGAACAAAGGAAATATTTCAAGCCACTTGCTGGGCTGCTGTCACCTGGAGTGGCCCATGAGATGTGGCAGTCTTACTGGGTCGTGCCCCGGAGGAAGCCCATGGGACAGAGGGCAACCCAGCTCCCAGAGAGATGCATTCAAATTTGGTTTTATTTTGCCAAACAACTTGCATTTCTTCAACTGTTCATGAGACAGAGCATCTGCTCATGGGTGTTTGCCTATTCATACTTCATTTTTCTGTGAAATACCTGTTGGTATATTTTTTTTATCATTGTTGTCTTGGGTCATTGTTTCTATTACAAATATTTTCTTCTTAGTTTGTGGTTTTTCTTTTGGTTTAGCTTGTAGTATTTTTTTTCCACTCTGGAAAATGTTGAAGTTTTATTGTCAAATGTACCTAATATTTCCTTTATGGCTGTTGGATTTTCCGTCGTAGTTAAAAAGATCCTCCCTTCTCTGAGATTATGCCAAAATCTATGTTCTCTTCTCTCAAGTTAACAATTTCCTATATTTATCTTTAAGATCTAATCCATCTGGAATTGATTTTGTTGTAAGGAATGAAGTGTGTGTGCGCTTTTACTGTCGTGATCTTCACAGCACGCACAGACTTATAAACATTGACGTAAATACGTATGTGTATAAATATATAATTTTATGTCTTAAATGTTTTGTCCCAGCACGCTGCCACATGGTCTTTTGTGACATCATCCTCTTAACATTCACAGAGAGGAACGGATCCAGATGGATCTTGCTTTAGCAAAGTACAGTCTGTGACCTCAGATGAGTGCAGATAATTATACAGCGATTGAAACGATGTAACATCTGGGTCAGGGTTGGACCTGGTTGGGCAAGATTACTGCCAGCACCTAGCTTCCCACCTTCCCTCCCCACCTCCCTCCCTGTCCTGACCTTGGCCGTACCTACCTTTCTCTCCAGCTTCCTTGGCGTGCTCCACCACCTCCTTCACTACCCCCTCCACGGCATGGACTGAAAAGATGAGAACAGCCCAGAATGAAGGCACACAAGGCACAAGCCACTGCTCCTCGCTGCACGGCCCACACAGCCCTGGATGTCCTGGGAGGGGGCCTGGAACTCAGGCCCTCCTGCCCACTGGGACCCTGGAGCCAAGGCAAGGCCTGTTTCCCAGGTCACCACGCCTCTCAGGTGAGCTGCTGTCCTGCCTGTGGCCGGATGGAGGCTGCAGCAAGAGGACCTGAATCTCGAAGCTTCCTCCAGCAACACCAAGGTCCCCAAAGCAATTCTTCCACTAAGATAAGAGGGAATTCTCTCTGCCCTCCTAGGGTGGTCACACTCTAGGACTGGAAGATATTGGATTCAGAAGAACTAACAGGTTCTGATTCTGACTCTCAGAATGAACCCCACTTCTTGATCCCTGGTCTGCAGTATGGAAACACCACCACACTCAGAGAGCTGGTGAAAGAGGAAAGAGAGGGGCCGTCCGCAGCGGCTGCAGAGCTAGCAAATGAAATACACACGTGTCTGCAGCCATTTAGAAAGAGAACAGCAAACTCAAGCTGTTTTTCACAAAATGTTCAACAGATGGGGCCTAAATTAGCCTCTCTGCATCCAGCGGCCAACAGCTGCCTACGAAAAAGGGGTTTCTGAAGGGAGGGTATAGGGGAGGGTTGCTCAGTGGTTAGAGCACCTGCTTAGCATGCACGAGGTCAGAACTAACTAAATAAACCTAATTACCTCCCACCCCCCACCAAACAGAAACAAGAAAATTACCTCCTCCACCAACAAAACAAAAACAATTTGGAAGAAATTGAAAATGTCCTTTGTGTAAACCCTGAGGGCTGACTATGGACAAAGTCAGACTCAGTGGTTTCTTAAGGAAGACATCTTTGAAGTTTTAAAGTTACAGTAAAAATAAAAATCCATCTTCTTTTTTCTGTGTAGGATATACTCAGAATAGGCTGTTTGAATACAGAAGGGTCTTCCTGGTTTCCAGAGGGAAAGATTCAGGCCACCAGCTGCTCACCCAGCACCCCAGCTCCCCGCCTGCTTCCAGCGGCCTCTCTGAGCTGCCTCCCTCTGGCCCTCAGCCACAGGCCCAGGAATGGGCCAAGCCCGGGTGGCAGAGCTGGTCTGACAGGGAGGGTCGTTTAGGGCAGTGGACCCCTCAGGGCTCCTCCAGGAACTGCCCTCCTCACCTTCCGTAGCCCCCCACCTCCGTCCTGTCCCTGTGGGGCTGATGGGCCAGGGTTCCCCACGGAGCCAAGGCCTGCCCCAGTCCTGCTGGGATGAGCTTCACACGGGCCCCTGGAGTCTGTCCCTATCCCCTAATGGGAGGATCAGCCCAGATGGAAATGAGCCTCGGGGTCCTTACCGGCTTCCTCGGTGGCCTTCTCAGTGCGGTGGGCCAGGCCCTCAGCAGCAAGTTTCCCCAGTCCTCCCAGCATTGTGTGGTGACGGGTGGTGATGAAGACGGATGCTGGCGCCTGGACCAATGTGCTTTTATAGATGCCTCTGATGCCTGGCTGGGCTCTGGGGCACAGCCCTTTCCCCGATGGTGAGTCAGCGCAGGCGGCAGGAGGAAGAGGCTGGGTGGGGCCACGCCAGCTCTGTGGCTGAGACAGTGCCCCTCTGGCAACACGAGACCCCCCACACCCTGTATCCTGGGACCTTGTGAGGGGCAGGGACTGGGAGCAGGGCTGAGGCTAGACAGAGTGATGGATTCTAGAACATGCCCCTCTCCCAAGGTAGGAGGCCTGAGTGCCCTGTGGGATGAGAGGCATTTGGGGACCGCAGCTCTGCCAGCCCCTTGGGCTTCGAGCTCCCCACAGTGTGGGCACTGGTAGGTACTCAGACAAGGCCTAGGACATCCAGCCTGCTGTCCAGGGTCCCTAGACTAGCCTAATCGGGGTTTAGCGTTTTGTGGGCCTGGGGACCTGGGTAGTCCCTCAGGCCAAGAACACAAGCGGAGTCAGGACAGCTGCCTTCCCCATTCCCTAGGACCTCAGCTCAGCTCTGCAGAGTGGCTTTGCAGCCGCCATTGGACAGGTTGGGGGTGGGTCAAGGCCAGGCCTGGCCCAAGGCAGAGGAGGACGCAACACTGACCAGAAGTCTAGTCATCTCTGGCTGGCAGTCACCAGGTTCTCATTCAGGGGAGCACCTGAGTAGCCCAGCACTGGGGTAGCCAGCACGTGAGGGAGCCCAGCCTTACATGCACACTGGGCCTGGCCTCTCAGGGAGGCCCTGTGAAGTCAGCAGTGCGCACCCAGGAGGCCCTAGAGGAGTAGATGGAGGACCCACCACCACCTGGGGAGGTGCTTCTGGCAAGAGCTCCCAGCAAGCACCTCTGCCAACCCCTGATGCATCACATGCTTGGGGAGCCAGGCTGCCTCCCTTCTTACTCAGACTGGAGAGAGATGCCTCAGGCCACGTACCACATGCTGCTTCCCTTAGTCACTGGCTCAACCTGACCCTCAGTTTCCTCATCTATAAAATGGGGACAGCCATGCCTTCCTGGCCTCATCAGTGATAGTTGGTGGGATCATGCATACAAACTCTTGGTAAACTTCCGCTCCTACCCCCTCATCACTGATGTGCTAGGGAGGAGCTGCTTGGCAGTGAGCCCTGATCAACCAGTGGGTGAAGCAAAGAGTGACAGGGCCTGAGGCTGCCTTGGAGTGAGAGGGCTTGGGGATGTGACCCCCACTGGCCAGGAAGCAAGGAGGATGGGGCTCCCAAGGTCCTGTTCACATGGTCCAGGCCTAAGACAGGAGTCTGAGGCCACTCTCCCCATGCAGGCTCCTTCATCCCTCAGAGGGGCCCAGCATGGTGTGCCAGGGCCTAATTAGGATTTATCTGGCCACAAGCCCTCACAATCTGGGCCCTGCAGGGCTGAGGCCCTCCCACATTCCTGAGTGGTGTTGGGAAGCCCTGGGTAGTGGCCATCCCCTCTGGGGTGGGCAGTGGATGCTGCGGGCAGTAGGAACTGTGGGTCACAAGGCCACAGCCCCGCACATGCCATTGACAGGAGTAGATGAGCTCTTAAATAAGGAAAGGAATACAGAGCGGGGCTGGGAATCGCTCAGTGGTAGAGTGCATGCTTAGCATGCACGAGGTCCTGGGTTCAATTAAAAAAGAAAAGAAAAAGCTCAGTAATACTACTCTTGCAAGTTTTA